GGAGGAGGTTCGAGGGAGGTTCGACGACGTCGCGGACGCTCCCGCGAAAATTCTCGGGGAATACTCCGAGATATTACGGAACGGGTAGAGGGAGAAGCGCGGGCGGGGCGGGAGGGATAGGGGACGAAGGTGGACAAGGACCTGGGAGATATCGGGGCGCCCGGTAAAACGCAATCAGAATAGTAATTAAGGATTCGGTTAACGCTCCAAGCGCGAGTGTAGAACGCAACCCAATTTAAACATACAAAAGTGTGTACGGTAGGTTAGCGAGGGAGTGCTCGCCGCCGAGAGAGACGAGGGAGGAGAGAGGGTCGGCAGAGGGAAGCTTGGGGGGGAGGCGGGGAGGGTGAGAGATCGCCGGAGAAGGAGGACAAGGAGGCAGAGAGACGACGCTGGTCCGACGTTGGTCCAGAGGGAAGGGGAGAGATGAGAGAGAAAGAGGGAAGAGGAGGAGACGCGATGGAACCGATAGCACGAGTCGGTGTGTGTGTGTGTGTGTATGTGTATGCGTGTATGTGCACGCTCTTCCATGTACACCACGTCTGTATGCGTGTGTACATGCAGACTGCGTTTCTCGATCTAGGAGTGCGTATGAGTGCGCATCAGCCGTGTATGCATCCGTGTGTGTGTGCCCACGCGTGCATGTGCGCGTGAGTTTGACGGCGTGTGCGAGCGTGCGTGTCGGAGACGATGCGCTGCAAACCCGGGTGAAAAGTAGGGGAGGGAGAGAATTCCTGTGTGCCTCTCCCGTCCTGTCCTCTTCTCCCCTTCGCCTCCTCTGTCTGCAGCACGACGGTTCCCTCTTTTCCCCGCCGCGTCACCACCCGTCCTCCCTCCCGCCTACGTCCTCCCCCTCGCGCCCGGCTTACAATCGCGGGGCCGTTTCGAGAGTGGTAGCAGGTGGATGAGGGGGAAGAGTGAAGAGAAAGAGAGAGAAAGAGAGAAAGAGAAAGAGAGGAGCGTAGTGTGCAGCGGGATGAGAGGAAGGGGATGGGGAGACGGGAGGGTGAGGCTGTGAGCGCGCGAGAGGAGCAAAAGAGAGGGACAAAAATCCGGCGGTGGCCAATGGGAGGAAGTCCCCGAACCCCGCGAGCGGCAAGAACCGACAACGTCGCCGGAGTTGGAGTTTTTGTTTACCGCGCGCGCACGCTCTCTTTCTCTCTCTTTCTCTTTTCGAGGAGAAAAGAAACGTATCTGCTGCTGCGGCAGCATCAGCATCAGCATCGGCAGCAGCAGCAGCACCAGCAGCAGCAGCAGCAGCAGCAGCAGCATCGCGGATACCAACAGCAACATCAGCGGCGACAGCAACGACGAGAAGCGCCAACCACCTCCGTCGTCTCTCTGCTCCTGCGATGCTCCGGCTCTTCTCGCCGGACAGCGTGATCAGAAATGGGATAGAGAAAGGGAGGGTAGAAGGCACGGGAAGGACGAAGGGCAAAGGATGAGGTTGAGGGTGGGGGGGGGGAGGGAGGCTAAGAGGAGAATAAAGGGGAGGAAGAGATTGTCGGCGATGCCACGATTTTGATGTTACTCGATAAAATTACCCGCGTTTCTTTTGCGGCCGCCGCCAAGTCGCGCTGCTCCTTTTCTCGCGTCTAGAGTGTCGGAGAACTGTCGAACACGCATCGTGTATCTCGGCTGTATTCACGGGGACGTTCCGCGGTAGCTATCCTGTAACATCTTAACGGATCGTAAATCGGATCGAGTGAGCGAACGGATGCTCATACTCACTAACATGCTCAAGCATTGTTTGATCCTCGTAGCGGTAAGGTTTTATCGCCTGTGGTCACGAGGCCACGAGGCTCTAGAGTTTCAAACTTGGAAGAATCAACTGAAAAGACAAATGTTTTATTTTTTTAATAAATTATTTTAATTGTGTAAAATGGATCGATAGATTTTGTTTTTACATTCGTCAGCACATATTAGTTAGGATTTATATTGCAGTAGAAGGCACTCCGATAAATAGTATTAATATGTCGAATTTAATATATCGGAGAACAAAAAAGAAATCCAAAGATATCTGATAGCAAAAGCCGCAGAGCTTTTCATCTGAAATCAATTATTTTTTTTTTTTTTGAGTTAGCGATAGCGCGCGTAACCTGCGGACGGAATTTCGCTTGAAACTCGAAACTGGAGAAACGCAGATCGATGGGCTTCGAAGGCACGGAACATCGACCGCAAATCACGTTCCAACGAAGTGTCCTCCCGCGAATCGAAAGACAGAAAGTAGTCTGCACCGTGCGAGTGCCACCATCCTTCCCGTTCTCTCCCCTTCTCCCTTTTGCTTGCCTTCTCTTATTCTCTAACGGCGTCCTTCCTGCTCTCTTTTTTTCACGAGCTCTCCTCTATCCTTCTCTCTGTGTCAGGGCCGATTGACCGAGCAGCATGGGAGAGAACACATGGTGAAAAAAGGATTTCGTTCTCGTAACGATATTTCGTAAAGCTCGATATCACTTTTGCATATATCACTCGTGGTCGCATAACTTGAGATAATCGCTTGTCGAAGCTACGCGGCAACGACAACGCGAATCATCGAGTCGTGTTTAGTGTATCGTTAATTGCAGAATTATGATAGAACATGAGAGCCAAAAAAAAAAAATAAGTCGCGATCTTTAAAACGCTCTTTCAAGTTCAGGCTATAACTTGTGCGGTGCGTAATTCGCTTCAGCTGTTGTGATTGATTGCGGCTATGCTTAAATAAATTTAACAAACTGTTACAAGTAATTAAATATAAAGATATTTTCGCAAATTAGACGTCGATAAACTTCAAAATTGTATTCGACATTCTACCGTGTACTTTAACACAGTTTCAATCAACAGTATTCGCGTCGGAGATGCGAAATATCCGAAGAAAAATATTGTTTTACAGCACTAACTTACTTAAAAGTACGTAATTCTGCGTAAACACCGCCATCGGTCCGGGTTAATTGCGGGCGATAATTCTCCGGCGGAAGACCGACGTTTAATGCGACTTGAAAAGTAACTATCGTTCGGGGAGTCACGCGGGCCAATACTTAAAGCAAATTTAAACGAGACTAGCGCGAGAGGCGACGGGACCGATTCGCTTCGCATGCATACGACGCGGCCTTTCGGTGCCTCGGTAGGGGAGAGAAACGGGTAGATGTGCACGGAGAAGAGAATGCGGGACAGAAAGGAGAGGAAAGATGTCATCAACCTCCCGCAGCCTCGACGGTGGACGATGACTAACTGTGCAAAGTTTAACCCCGGCTCCCCCGGAACCTCCCTTTTTGGCATGGAAATGTCACGCATGCAAATGCGCCTTTCGCAGGCGATCGGTCATCTACCATCATCGCGTATAAAGAGAGACAACGATTGAAGAAGCGAAACTTGACTGTACACCGGACGACTACGGCTATCTTTTGCCATGCGATAAACAGCGTATTCGAAATTTGCATAATTACACAATTCTGAGATATTTCTCTCGAACTAAATAGTATAATTAAATTAATTAGTAATTTCACGCCAGCAATATATACACGTTATTAAATTAATAATATATATTTATGTGCAAGTTCTTCAAGAGAGTAATTTGTTCTTAAAGTTGAGAAGTTTTAACGCAGCGTGCGTAATTGGAAAAAAGGGACCAAAAATTAACGAAAAGATTAAGCCGATGATGTGCAAAGCGCCTCGGTCGCATCATCGGCATATTAATGAAAAGGAGCTGCGAAATGAGTTATAATTAGACACGCAGTTAACATACTTATAATCGGCGACAGTGACGGTCGAAATAACGTAACGGCTTTAATTAATTTGCAAAGGGTCGACGCGGGCAGCTTTTTTTTGCTAAGACGCACAAAGCTCGCTCGCCTTTTTAACATAGCCTAATGAGGAAAGTTGTCTGAAAATGGCGGATGGCAGTAAATTTCGAAAATGCTTTCTTATTATTGCAATGTTGTTTTTTTATTTTCGAAATTTTGAAATTTTTTTTGTGACAGCATGTTTTTTGTACACGGTAAAGCAATAACGGTCCGTTATTACACATGAAAGCCTGCAGCTAGTATCGTTAACAAGAAACTTATTCATGAGTCCCCGTGAAGAATCGTCGATAAGCGCGGGATAGAGAAAGGGTTGAAGGGGGTTAAAAAGGGTCAAAAGGATCAGACCGACGGCGGGCGGGAAAAGACGAACTCGCGCCGAAGTTGGTCAGCAGGATGAACGGGAAGAAGTACAGACTGGATGAGAGTCTTATTCCCCTCCTCGTTCCCTCCCTTTCTCCGCTCTCTTTTTCTCGCCGAACAATGCGCGGAAAAGTGTGCGATAGGAGAAAAAAATGGACCGCTGCCATTATGGAGTTCAGGGCCACTCGAGTTGTTTTGCTTCCACCTCCGCAAAGGAGCCTCGTACAGAAGCAACTGTGCTGAATGAATCAGTGAGAGGAAGAAAGAGAGACAGTAGAAAAGCGAGGCAGCGCGAGAGGGGGAGGAAGAGAGGGAGCTTTCACCACTAGTGGCCTAGACTTCTTCTCCTCTCTCTTACTGTCCCGCTGCCTGCCATTACATTTCTTCCCGTCTGTCGATGTTTCTCCCCCTCGTGCATTTGCAAAGCGCTACATGCTTGTTCGTTTCCTCGACTATTCCAGCGTATGCCCTTATTTTCCTTGTCATATGCCGTGGGCGTTAGGAATTTAGGAACGAGAGGCTTTAGATCGTAAGGTCGTTGACCCCATGACTTTCGGACAGCAGAGAGACCGAGTGTTTGACTTTCCAGATTTTTTTCTTTGCGGAGTCTTTTTGCAGCTTTCCTGATGTTTTATACCACTAAGTTTTTGCATCTTTGGAGTTATAAGCTTATTGAACTTGAACTTTGCGTTTTCATTGACTGATCAATCTTAATTCGCTGTAAACGTTGCATTTTTAGCGACGCATAAAAATTTAAAAAAATTAAGAATTCGAGAAATTATTACAATATTTTTAATTTTATAAAAATTAATTTCAAGTTTTGCTAGATTCTAAGCCATATATTTTTGTTTCTAATTCCAGGACACCCTGTATATAACCAAAGACGCCTTGTGGCAGGCAATACTGATACGCCAAAGCTGATCGAGTTGCAGTCGTCGAGAGTCATGCGTGCAAACGTTCGTGTGTGTGTGTGTGTGTGGGTAAGTACGATTTATGCAGATCAAGCGTTAACATGAATGAAACGATATTATCTTGAAATTGTTCCGAGATTGGCATTAGAAGCTGCCGCTTCGATTAATTCCGTTTCCGTTTTCCACGGCTATTTTCCTTAATGAAGACGCGTATAATAAACTATTACTCATCGTCTAGTCATAGATTTTTCGTAGTATAACTACACGTAACAGCGTTACATCGAACATTATTGGTGCATCGAAAAAAAAAAACTTCGTCACGATATTATAATAATCGATTGCATCAGTTCCACGATAGATTGCGAGCTTTACAGTGAACGTTTTTTTTCCGCACGTTTATCAGTGTAAATCCACTCGGTATTCCCGAAAGTTATTCCATGACGTATGCATTTCCGTGACATACGTCACTCGTGACTTACCTCTTCGCAAGTCCCCATCGCAATCTCCCGCGTCGCCGATCGATAAGGTCGTAATTACAGCCGTACATTCCATAACTCCAACATTATTCGAGTATTTCAACATTATATGAATTATATTAATAAAGTAATCGGATTATCTACTGCTCTTTTTTTCATCGCGCAATATATATATTCACATAAAAAAGAATATTACATTTTCAATAATATATAATTGCTTAAATCAAAGGATACATTGCATATTTAATTGGAAAAGGTTCAATATTTGCGACTCATACATTTGTTGAGAAAAAATGCAAAGATAAATTAAGAAGCGAACTATAATAATAGGATGCTGTCGTGTACAGCGCGAATATGATTAATCGCGCGTGTAACGGCATCCGGCTGCGTGCGCTTTTTTTCCACGCCGTTTTTAGGCGTCGCAATATTTCACGAATCGATACGAGACACCGTGTTGACGATAATGCCGTCGCGTCTCGCCTATCTAAAACAACTCGCTAAACAGGAGCGCGCGACTTAGCGCAAGCGGGAATTATCGCAATCTCGGGGCGTAATGCGCCTCATAAAAAGCTTCGCTCGCGTTTATTGGGGAGTACGGGGGTAGCATGCGCCGCTGGGCGCCGGTTCAGAATCACCGCCGTAGCATCGCGTCCGTTATGGACAAAAGGGCTTTGTCGAGTAGACAGTGACAGTGATGAGACCGTGATGAGTGGCAATGTCGTCGGTCGACTGTGCAGAGCAGCCCATTATTCCACCTGGCAGAAAGCTTTCCAGTTTGGCACACATCGAGTATCCAAGCGATCACTTATTATAATCATACCGACCGCGTTGTTGTTGTTGTTGTTGTTGTTGTGCTGCTGCTGCTGCTGCTGCTGCTGCACTGGCCATGGCTGACATCATAGTGCTAAAAGGGGTTGGGCGGGTACTATTGGCCGTCTCCTTCTCTCTTTCTCATTCCCTCTTTCTCTCTTCATCTCGACAACAAGCCTGCTCTGATTAGTGATTAGCGCAAAATCGCTGCCGCTCGTTCGTACGTCGTCCGGATGGGTTGCCAGTCTCGGCTCACTGGCTCCATTCTTTTCTCCCAAGCCATTTAATTTATGCTGAAATCTATAAATACTCGCGATATACCCTTTCTATCCGCAACGGGAAAAACTGGCGGCTGGCGAGCTTAACGGCTCGGCACGGAAAAAACTGCGGCTGAGGCGAGATTTTAATGTGATGCGCGAATGCGCCCGTGAGTCGCGTTTAATAGGAGAGAGAGACGCGGAAATGATAAGGTACATGTGCTACCTATAAATACATTATACTATTACCAACATTTTCACGTAGCGCTGTAACACTAGCGTTTTAATTCTGTTTAATTTTCACTCTTTTAGTCGGGTTTTAGTCGGGTTTAATTAAACATTTAAAGATAAGAACTTTCGCGAGTATTTCTTAAAATGTTAAATGCATCTTTAATAGATGAATAGATTTTTTTTTCAATACATCTGTACTTCTTTTAACGTAAAGACAAATTTTCTATGATTATTTCGTCATTATAGTCGACCTTCACAGAAGCTTTCTTAATCGCTCCTTATCAGTCGGACTGAATTCAGCATCGCAAAACTTCACTTCATAAATCACTTCTGAATAGTTTGCTCGAGTTTCGAATACACTTCGCAGCTCGCTTTCATTGTTTTGTACTCAGCAGTCGTCTTCTTTAATAACAAAAAAGCCGCAGTAAACGTCGGCGATAAACTTTGTTATCGCTCGTGTTTAAATTATTGCCAATTAGAAAACTCGATAAAAGCCTTCAAACTTTTTTCCAAATAATATTCTAAAATACACTATCACCATTTATACTGTAATTCTGTTCTTACATAAACATTAATAGAATTATTTGATGTGCGGGGATTTTCCTTGTCGACTTTAACTTCAACCCCTCAAAATTCTCGCGACGACGGCTTTAAGGTCGTCGACTCCTCCGGATAAAGAGGGAAAGAGAGAGAGAG